CCCCAAAACCCCAAAACCCCAAAACCCCAAAACCCCAAAACCCCAAAACCCCAAAATGAATAATTTATGTTGAATTTTATTTATCCCATGGACTTTAGCTGAATATGCTCTGAATCTTTCTGCTAGCAGGAATACTGATTATAGACTTAGATTCTGTCTTCAAACAGTGTATAGACTTCTTGAAGAGAGGATCATCCTTAAGATTCACATTAACTTTCTCCTAAAGAATGAGTGTGAAGGAATACTTTTGACTTAAAGAAACTATTCTGAATACTCCTGCGATGGTCGTGATACAGGGTTGTCTTCTTCCCTCTTGCGCTAGCAGCAGTACATGTCTTCCTTCCTGATTGCATATCTGATAAGGTTTGTAGATGATTCTTTGTGATTTTGAAAATATCCTTCATTGATAAAAACTGTAATTAAAATAAGCCAAAATAAGTACCTTTTCCTTAATAGGAAGTTTATTTCCAATCTGCTTTTTCTTCTTAATTTGATTCCCAAAAGTAAATAGAGGATTCTAAATATAAGATGAGCTATACCAAAGCTCTTTGCTTAATCCTTTCTTTTCTTTTGAGGATAAATTCCCTTGTTATCAAATTTATATTCATTCCTATTGAATCGTGTACTGTGACATTCCGAGGCCTAGATTTTGTGGTGTTTGGCTTAGGAATTAAAAAGTCATCAATATCCTTGTAAACCTCCTCTCTATTCGGTTATTCTTAATATTTTACTTTGAAATTTCATTAGAGTCATCATCACAATGAATTTTTCTTAACTCAGCCTGCAAGATAGTTGGGTTTTGGAAATTTTGAACCTCTAATATTCTCAATGAATTTGGAAAGAGCAGACTTCTCCGTTTGCTTTCTAACTTTTTCCTCGTTCTAAAGCCTAAATATAGTATCCTTACAATGGCTTCGATCCTGGATTATCGCTATTGACAGGAAATAAGCTATGAGTAGAGACCTGATGTATTAACTTTTCCTCCTCTGAACTGAACCTGTTCGGAAGGTTTTTAATTTTCTTATCGTTGTATTTCTACACTTATAAACTCCAAATTACCTTGCTCATTTTTATTCCAACTCGATATGGTCTTCAACTGTCAGCTGTCTTCTATTCGTAGTTTCGTCAATATCCTTCAGAGTTGGCCCCTTCCACCCTGGAGGATTCATATTAATGATCATAGGGTCATCAGGCAAATCCTCGTATGAGACTTCTCAGTTGTTGCTAATATACTTCTCTGGATCAAATTTGTTTGAGAAGTTGCGTCTCCTTTGTTTCTTCTTCTGTAAGATCTTATAGTATTTTCTTCAGTACTCTATATGTATTGTTATCTTGAAATTCGAAACAGGGCCTAGTTCATTTAGAATGCGTACCTTTCCTATACATTGTGAGTAAAAGCTTACTTTCTTTGGATGTTATCAATTAATTGTAAATCCTTATGGGACCCCCCTAGGCTCCTTGTCCTTCCACTTTTCCTCAACATTTTAAAGCAAAGATAAAATTATAATTAAGTTAATTTCACTAATTAAAAGTAATAGTGGGGTTTTGGGGTTTTGGGGTTTTGGGGTTTTGGGG